AGAAGAAGAAGAAGAAGAAGAAGAAGAAGAAGAAGAAGAAGAAGAAGAGGAAGAAGAAGAGGAAGAAGAAGAGGAAGAAGAAGAAGAATATGGCAAGAGGTCCCGTACATGGTGGTGGGGAACACAGTTATTGTATTTGAGTTTATATGTTTTATGTATATGATTTTGTTATAGTTATAGTTATAGAAAAAAAAAACGAAAAAAAACACATTGCATTGCGATGATCGGTAAGCGTTTCGCTTACCGATCTTCGCATTGCAATTTTTTAAAAACATCTAATCGGCGGTTCCAAAATGGCCACCGGGTGCCTAAAATGGCCGCCCGCAGCATTTTCGCACCCTGCCCTCGCTTATCGAGGGCACGAAAATGGCGGCCAGATGGAGAATCTTCTCTCAATGGTGAGTTTCCCCCCGATAGGAATGCATTAAACTGAGTTTAATGCATTCCTATGGGGTTTTCCATTCCGTTTTACGATGTTTCCGGATAGCGATGATTAATCCGGAATGGATTAATCTCGCTATGCGGGGCACCACTGTATATTGTTCATATGTGGTTGTAATTATCTAATTTTCAGACCTGCTAAGGACCAGATGATTCTTATTGTGTCCTGATGGGTAAAACCAAAGAATTCAAAGAGGGTGTTCTTGTTAAGATTTTGATAGGAATATGTATTAAGTATAAATGTTGTATAGTTGAAAATAAAATGGCTGATTTTACCTGAGTCATGTATTGATTGTATTCAGGTGTAGTTACCAAGGTTTGATACTTAATATTGTACAGCTGTGCTACATGATGAAACTTTATGTAACAGGAAAATCAAGTGATGTATTTTCTGATTGGTCCCAGGAATGTATACAGTCGTGCCCTGCATTATAACGAATCCTCATTACGACAAAACTGCATTACGACAAAACTGCATTATGACGACGCTTTTGCGATTGTCTGAATAGGCTTTTTTCGCTTCGTCATGATCGGTTCCCTGCTTCAGGAACCAATTCTTCACAAAATGACAATTTTCCTACAGCTGATTGGCGGTTTCAAAATGGCTACTGGGTAAATAAAATGGCTCCCCGCTGTTTTCGGGGACTGATTCATCACAAGACAGCCACCGAAAATGGCCTCCCTATGGAGGATCTTCACTGGACGGTGAAGTTTTAGCCCATTGGAACGCATTAAACAGGTTTTAATGCATTTCAATGTGTTTTTTATTTTCACATTACGTTTTCGCTCTACAGCGATTTCGCTGGAACGAATTAACGTCGTAATGTGAGGCACCACTGTATAAGTCATGTCTGAAGAGAACATTTCATTTACTGTACGTCAGATCACTTTTCTCTATGCTATATGTTGCATCATGTCATGTTATGCTGGCAGATGAATGTCCATTCTCTCTGTATATATGTTAACAGACTAAGTTGATATTTTACTCTCTCAGTGTCATAGTGTCAATGCAAACTAATAGCTCCTAACTCTGCTAATGTTCTGAGAATGCATGTTTAACCAAAATTCTCAACATCGAAAGCACCACAGATTGCCTTCCATAATTCCTTTTTTCTCACAACCAGCAGCCCAGAATTTCTACTTTATGACTATATTCAATTGAACAAAGCTCTGGTTTATGAATGTGGGATATTGTGCTTTGGTACCCACAATTTCAATGTGTCAGGAAATGGTCCAATATTGCTGCACAATACTGTGCTCAGATTGCCAGCAGGAAAAGTTTTACCAAGCTTTACATAAAGGGCAGCCTGAATGTTGACAACACCAATGGTAGCAGTCAAGATGGTCTACAGGATACCCTCTTCTGCTCCCTGCCATTCACAAACTGATGCCACAGCAAAGGGCAATCTCAGAAGCTAGTTCCTTTTTTTTTTTTTAATCATTTAACCACTTCTTACCCAAACATAAACCAAGGGCTGTGTTTCAACAAGTATTAATGGTAGTGAATTCTTTTTCAAAGTATTGACTTTCAGGAAATGACCTGTTTCCTGTTTGTAGCAGCTATTTTAAATTATTAATTTTTCAATAACTCCTGAATGGATTTGCTTCTCATAAAATAAAAGGGGCTGAGATAATTAATGTCCTTTTAAAATAAAATGTTAATTGTTTGCAGTATACTTCAATGATTGCTTATCTGCTGGAGAAAAATGTCACTACTGTTGGAGGGAGAGTAAAATATTTATAATTTTTGAAAAATCATAATTTTTAAAACTACTTGGCCATATGTCACCAAATCTGGCACAGAGCAATACCAGACGGTCTAGTCCTACTTTGGCAATCCAAAACCTGGTTTAAGAGTTACGATTTGTGGTTCGGACTGTCCCCGATTTTAGAATTCCCTTGTAGAATGTTGTTTTGCTCTGCTGCACAATAACATCACTGCACTCTTGTGCAGTGATAATAATGGATGAAACAATTAAAACAAAAATAGCTTTACTGAGAAAATTACACTGTTCATGTAGGGACAGGAGGTCTCTTCTCTGGGGTAGGGGGACAGAAAGGAAGATCAGAATAGCCCCTAAGAAAATCACCCCGTGACAGGTTGGAGGGAGCAGCGATCAGAGACAGAAAAGGAAAGAGCAGCTTTTCTTGATACAGTATCTCCTCCCAAACCCTTTCTGGTTTTCATGATGGAGGGGCGTATAGAGACAGCGTATGCAGGATTCTTGCATCACTACCAAGACAACCAAATATATTTCACGATGACCTTCTGTGGATTATTATAGTGCATTGCTTCAGAACCGAAAGTGAAACAAACAAGGTTCTGATCCAGACCAGCAATCTCCACCCATGGTGGCTGTCTAGGCAGTGAGCAAACCTGGAAAAGCAGGCTTCCCCATCGGGGAAAGATGCTCTATTTACACCCAACCTCAGCGTCATTTTCCTGTAAAGCCGCTTCGGAGGCCTAAGCTAGCTCTCTCTGTTGACGTTCACTGGTGGCTGGCATGGAACTTGCCTAGCGAGACGCGTCTGACTTCCGTTTTAACTCAAGAAAACAATTTTGTGATCTAGAACTCAACATATCCCGGCTAGGGTTCTTTTTTTTGGGGGGGGGGTGACCGTTATGCCTGACATCTAAGCGGCATTGGGTCCAGCTCCAAAAGCAGGTGATTGGCCGAATCGGAGCTAAATATTTTCTTTCTAAAAGCAGCCTCCCCCTTCCCTCTCCAAATGCTCCCGAATGGCTGGGAAGCAACCTGTTGAATGGAAGGAAAAGGCAAGGGGAATCCTTGACAAGCAGGGACACCTTCTGCAGGCGCTCCCTTAAGCGCGGCCCAATGAGATTGACGCCGAATTCAGAATCCCTTTACCTGGTTTTAAAACTGGTCTGAAGGAGACGCCAGTCCCGGTCTTTCTCCAGCATGTAGCCGCAGGCGATTTCTGCCCGGCTTCTTTTCTCTTCTCTCCCAAGCTTCTGCTCCCCCACCAGAAGGATCCGGCCTCCCGTCTTCCAGCAGAACTGGACCGCCCTCGTCTCTCGCTTCCTAGGTGTTTTTTATTTATTTATTTATTTATTTTTAGCCTCCCGGCATTGTTTTTCCTAGTGTCCGATGGGCGCAGGTGCAAGGAGGCGCCGGGGAGGATTCCGCTCAGAAGCATCATTTCGGGGAAAACCGCAACTTAATATTTTAGGATCCGCCCTCGGGGAAGCGGAGGAGAGACTAGAGGGAGGAAACCTTTGTGGAGGCCGGGTAGAGACCGAATTGGTCCCAACGTGCTGGAGAGCGGCTGGGATTGAGGGCTCCACCCGACATATGGTGAAAGATTCATGCCAGTCAAACGTGGCTTTTTTTTTAACAAAGTGTCCCTGCCTGATTTTCCGGGACTCCCCATTCCGATCATCATACAGGAGTTGGCCGGGGGCGGGGGAGATGGAGGGCTGATCTTAAAAGGAGGAAATGTGATATTCCTGGACCCAGTGCCAGTTAGAAGTCAGCTGTAAACGTCAACTCTAAAAAGGACCCTAGACTTGTATATGTTAATTGATAGGCCATGC